TTGTATTACAAAATGAATCTTATATTTAGAATCAGATGTTTAATATAACAAAAACAGGCTACAAAATAAGCTATCTTGGAACTTCATGTGCATGTATTTTTCTATAATTTTATATTGAATATGAAATTATGTATCTCTTCTATTATTTTAATAAAAGTCAAAGTGATATTAAAAAAACTATGGAGTTACATAGTTCCAAATGTATATGGACAGGAGATTATCTGACAAAAGGAAGGTTGGGCAAGAGAAATTATCAACATGGCAGAAACAAGACAATAAATAAGAATGAAATCATGCATCTCGTTTTTATGTATAAAATGGAAAATAAAATCATTTTCCAAGATAATATTGTTACCAAACCAAAGATCTTAGAGAAAATTCTAAAAAATTAAAATACCATTTGAATTTTAAAATCAAGTGTTCATACAAAAATGTGTTGTTATTTGTAATCAATTGCTATCAAAATATAGGAAACAAGACTGATTTGAGATTTTAAAATCAAAGCTGTCTTTTTTCTTTGGGATTTTCCCAAAATTCTTATGTTGCATTAATAGAAACTCTAAACCTATAAGTGTACGTGTGTGTGTGTGTGTGTAATGTATTTGATGATGATGTCCTCAAAAACCAAAAAGAAGGATTGAGTGTTAGAATAACAAAAAAAAAAAAACCTGAAATCGCCATAAAAGATCAGAGCAGGCTTTGAAACGGAAGCGATTAGAGTAGAAGTTGCGACGAGCAGCTTCAACCTCAGCTCTTCCCTCCTCAGTTCCACCTTCTGCATCAAACTCCCAAATCTGCCTTCCCACAAAGTTGTTTGTACTGTATATGTATGGATCATTCCCTCCTTCTGCTATCTTCAGCCTCCACATTCTCTCTCTCTCTCAAGATCACCTGCAATATAATGACGACAATATGATATAATACTCTTTCTGCAACTGCCATATCACGTGTTCCTACTTATAAAAAATATTTACAAGATGTCTCAAATTTTCTTAGCTAATTTTCTATTTTACCTCCACTAATTACTTATTTAATACTTGATATATTTATTATTTTATTTTCCGGTATCATTCATTTATTTTCTTATTTTCTCTCTCGTACCCCCCCCCCCCAAAATAAAGGTATCTTTGAGGGAAGAAACTTACAACTTTTATATATTTATTGCTTGTAACCAATTTTCATTAACTTTTTGCTATACATGATTTGGTCAAATGTTTGAAAAGGGACGGAGGAGGAGTAGCAGTTGTAATATTGCATGCATCCACATACTTAAATTAAACAACCTTAGTTTATTTATAACGTAAACAACTCGACGTGCATCTCAGAAGTCTCTTTGTTTATATAATATTATCTTTTTATCATGAAAAATATAGAACTATATAAACTAAACTGATTATAATCTTATATCCTTTGCTTCTTCCACCATCCATATTCCCCCCTCGACCAGCAGCAGCAGAAGAAGAAGAGAGGAACCTTAATTAATTATATGGAGTTCACAGACTCACAGGCCGGTGAAGAAGAAGAAAAGGGGAACCTTATTAATTATGGAGGTTACAGACTCAAAGGGCAGGAACTTGTGGTATGGAAACCAAATCAAAGATTCCCAGTTCAAACCTGTGGAGATGGATAGCGGCCGAAGAGTGAACAGGGAGGAAATGGAGGAAGAGTGAGGCTGTCGACGGCGACCAAGGGAAGGAAGAGAGGGATTAGTGACGGTGGTGATATACGGACCTGATGGTGCTGCCGGAGGAGAGCGATGGAAGTCGGCGAAGGGAAGCTAGAGGAGGCCGGAGACGACGAGTCGAGATTATGTTGTAAAGGAACGAATAACCGGGGATTTAAAGTGGGCAGGAGTTGGTTTTTTTTTTTTGGCGTACCTGTCACTTGCAAATAATCACCTGAGTTAAAACATGTTTAAGTTGTTGACAAAAACTAAATCAATAATAAAACGTGCTTAAGTTTTTATTAATTAGAATTAAGAGCAATACAGCACAGGAAAGGCGTGGTGGTTCGACAATAAGTTGATGGGGAGCGATACTGATACCACACCTAACGGCCACCGCCCAACTTGGAAATAATTCTATTTTTAATAGCAGTATTATCTTATCTAATTACATTGCTTAAGAATCTCAGCAAAATCTAGTGGACAAATTAATTATTCCTTTAAGTACATCAATTAGTAGGAATGAGAGAATTAATGTCGAATTGACAAGAACAAATTATTGATTTACCCATTCAAAGCAATTTACATGTGAAAGACTGTGCTTAATAGGATATATCATTTTTTTTTGCTATGGAACACACAAAAGAATTATGGATACCGTTGTGTGAATAATGGAAACTAAAAAAATTTTGAATTTTGGACCTAAATATAGTTATACGCACTAGTATATATTTTGGACCAAAGGAGTAATTTTTTTTAGTAATGAGAACTTCACTTTTCGTATTTTTGTTAGACATTTGATATGTATATCAAGAAAATAAAAAATTTATGTAATAATAAATTATTAGAGATAAAGTTATACATTTATGTAATAAATTTAATTAAGTAACTTATATTAAGGATAAAAAATACTCTCCCTCTCTTTGGCCAAAAAAAAGAGGCAAAGGGGGGTATAAAAAATGATCCCTAAGGTAAAAAGGAAAGTTGACTAACATTAATTATGATGAAAGATCTTAAAAATAAAATTTATTTTTAAGGATATATAAAAGGATCTTAAATATTATTTGTAGGTTTTAATTAAGGACAAATGTTTAATGTTGTTATTGTTGAGGTAATTTCATTCTCATTTGTTTTTCCCCTCACACTATTATAATCTCCCTTCCCCTTTCTTGTTATATATATATTCGTTGAAAAAGTCAATTGGAATTGTGAAAACGAGACAAAGGAAAAAAGCGTGAACGGATCACTGAAACAAATTACAATTTTGAAGTCTTCCATTACATTATTGCGTTTAATTAATTAAGTCATAATTCAATGATGGAAGGAGGATGAGGGCGGGGAGAATATATATATAATTTTATATACTCTTCCGGTCATTAATATAAGATTTAATTAGAAAGTTTATATTGGTTTTATATATAAGACCTATTTCACATATTGATCATTTTTTTCAAATTAATCTTATTAATATTTTCTCAATATATAAGGAAGGAGGAAATTAAAGAAGATCTTTAGAGAGTTTTAGAAAAAATATATCATATTAACTAATTTAACTAACATCCTTAATCTACTCAAATTAGTTAATTAGATCCTACATTAAGGACCATAAGAGTCTATATATATATATATATATATATATGTATATGTGCGTGTATGATATATTGCCCCGCTAGTTTTTAAATTTTTCCTGATATTGTATAGGTATAATATTTTTATCTCTTAAAATTTATACAAATTATATATATATCTGTGTCACTGTGTGTGTGCATATACATATACAAATTATATATAGTTTCAATCATAGCCTTCTTCCTTTTGACCAAAAATGTAACGTGATTCACAAGTTTATGGAAGTTCCAACTACCTCCCAGCATCATGACTAAAAACAGAAAGTTGTGTATCTGACTCGAAATTAGAAAACTATCTTTTATTACACGCGCGCGCGTATAATGTGTTTTTTTGTGGTTATTAAATTTATGTTTAATTTCTTTTATAGGGTAAAGTTGCTCTTAACACCCTGAATTTATTTTATATTAAAAAATTTGCCATTGAATAAATTTATATTGACATTTTATTTAAAAAATTTTGCATCTTTGAAATTAAGCAATATATAATTTGTAAAGGAAGCATTTTCTGTTTTTTCTTAATTATGTATGATGTTTATTATTAAAAATCACAATTTCTTCATTTGTTTAATAAAATACATAAACAAAAGAGACAAAGATTTAAGGAAAATCCCAAAAAAATTATCATTGAATTTCAAAATTCTAAATTGATATGGGTTACTACACTTGTAAAAAAATGACTATATTTGAAAAGTAAATAACAATCTATTTTTGTAGTAACTTCTCATTTAAAATTCTAAAATTCAACAGTTATCTTTTCAAGATTTAAACCATTACAATAATATTTATTTATTTATTTATTTTTTACATCATCCATCAAAGTACTGAAAATAATACCATATATATTAAACTAAATACATGCATAAAAATGAAAGTTAAAAAAAGTAAGAAAATAAGTAGAATGTGAGCTTTAAAATAGTCTTCAGCCCCCTCAAACCAAGACGAAGTCGGTAAAGAGGGTTTTAAAGGGCCGGCCGCTACCGGAGTATAATCCCTTGCGCTTGTTGAACAAGCTGGGCCGGTTCCCCGCCATTACCACAATTTTTGAGTTCTTCACTTACTCCCTTGAAAAAGAAGAAGTTGGAGGACTACTTTGTGGGCCGTACGACCCCGACGAAAGTATGAATATAATCTTATGTTGAAAATTAATGCTGAGGAAGACATTAACGTATTGATATGTGTGTGTGTGTGTGTGTGTCAATTAGTCCATTACTGTGTGTGTGTGTGTGTATTTATATACTGTGGCCTGCGTCCTCAAGAGTCAATAGCCTAGCAAGAAAATACGAGCAAACTATATATTGGATATTCATTAATTTGCAAGGTATTACTAAAAAGTGATTATTAAACTGGTTAAGGTTGTGAAGGGATTTAATTAGCGTTAAATTGGAATCAACCTAATCATAATTAAAATAATATAACAAAATTAAAACATATAAAATATTCTTATATATAATCTTAAAAGCTAATATTTAAATAAAATAAGTATTAATTCATAAGTAAACAGAACATTCATGATTCATATATTAATTACACATAATCCAACAAAACAAAGCTAGTAAAATATAAATATGCCATATACCATCTTTTTAACTCAAAGCGACATTATTTCAAACTCAACAGGAGAAGGAAAAAATATAGATACATACATACATACGTATATAATTCAATTCAATTAATCTATCCAAAACTCTTGACTGGACTGGCCACGGCTAGGAAACTGATTTATTGGTGTGATCTGCCAATTCCAGCTGAGTTTTAGTACTATGTTAATCTGCAGAACGAAGGTTGCCAACATTACTTGTGACATGGAGCTCGCTTGTAATATTCACAGAGAGCCCACAGTGGGAAGACGTTTCTATACATTGGATAATGCATCATGCAATTCCTCATGAATACTCCCGTGGATTCCTATGTATGAATAATTCAAACATTAATATCTAATCTCAAGTTTATATTTAATTAATCGCATTAGTCACAGAAAGAGAGAGATGAACTCACTTGTTGTGGCCAGTCCCCGTCTTCTAATTGAGAATTAATTAAATTTTTTGCTGCCCGATGAAGAGGAGTTGGGTCTCTCTCTGCCTGATCCAACCAAATAAAATAAAATAAAATGCATACTAAAAGTTAGAATTGAAAGGCATTATATTACTTTACATTTAGAAATTTGACATTTTGCTTAGAATTGGAATGAAGAATAGTTTTTAATGAATTTCATACTGCTTGCTTATCAAGAAAACACACAAACACTCAGAAAGCTTGGATCGATATCATGCTTCATTCATGTTCGATGATATCCATAGATTTAAACCTTAGTTATGAAAATAGTTTGGGTGCATTTCGACTCGAAATAACTGGGTTTAGATTCTTTTTATGCAATACCTACAGAGTTATTGCGGGAACCAAAATACCTAGAGAGAAACTTGACCCTAATTAATAAGCTAAGAAGATTGATATAACTTACTTGGCCAGCATAGATAAGACCCATCATAGCCCATGCTGTTTGCACCACAGTTGATCGGCTTCCTTCAAGTGGTACGTACTTCTGCATCATCCGTGCAAACCCATTAAACTAACTATATATCAACAATAAAAGAAAAACAACATATTTTTTTTAATATAAATTACATTATAAAATAGGTCTTACAGGACCGGAGAGAGTACTACGTAGAGATACCTTTTTAGGGCATGAAAGATAGCTCTCTCCCCACCCACCATCTTTTTTTTGTGTTGTGAGAAGAAAGTTGGCAGCTTTGCGAATGGAAGCACAAGTTTGATAAGTTTTGCCAGCAGCAACAAGCCCACCAAGTGCAAACAATGTTCCATAGATGAAGCAAATTCCCCAATTCCCATACCAAGAACCATCTTCTGTCTGAGTATCTTCTATGTATCTTACAGCATTCTCAATGAAATTCTCAATCTCTTTGTTTCTGTGTGTTGGATATAGCTCTTTAAACAACACTAAAGCCTGTATTGCTGCCCCAGTGCACTCAACATATTCATGCTCCACTACAATATTCTCCAGAAATTCAATAGGATTCAACACCTACTCTCAAAAACAAGCAATATAATCAATGTAAAAGTGAAAATCTTATGTAGGTCACTCCAAATATTAATAATTAAAGCACATATATATATATAGAGCTCTTACTTCCAACCAATCTTGACCTCTGATTGGTTCCCAAACTGTTAAACCACCTTTTTCACTCTGCAATGTAATCACAAAGTATCCATAATTTCCTATTACATGATCATTTCAAATTGAATGTTCCTTAGCTGATTCAAGATAAAAATAAATGACCTGAAATGACAATAGTATATTGACTGCATCAAACAATCCCTCAGGTTCCATCTTTTCACCTACAATCTCTGAAGGCAGCTTTGATAGAAGAAGACAACACTACAACAAACATGACAACATATATATAAGGTGAAGTCACATGTATGATATGATTACGAATCTCTAGCTAATCACCTTCAAAGCTTCTGCTGTGCAATCTGAAACTGGAACTCCTTGGTCTTGATCAGAGAAGGTCCATGACCCTTTAGAAAAGTGACGATACATACTCTTGAAGTCACCAGAAGGGTTGTTCTTAACCTGGCCATATTGTTATCCATCATTAAAAAAAGTTGCACTAGCTCATAAGATTACTGAAACAGCAAAAATCTCTGTGTAGCTGAATATCGAGTCATTGGATATATAGGTTTTAGATTAATGAAACAAACTTGAGATTCCTTGATGAAATAATGTGCTCTTGCAAGTGCTGGAGCGAATTCTTCAGTTAGGCCTGTGGCAAGCAATGCTTGAATAGCAAAGCCAGCATCCCATGTCTGGCTTCCAAAACTCTGCACATAAGTATACGATTAAACTATTATAGTTTCCAAAAGCGATTAGAAATTATTCAATGAAATCAACGTTCTACAAGCAGTAACATCTATATTGGATCAGTGCCCCCACCAATTAAGTCGCGCACACATGCCTCTCATAATTCGAAAAGTTTGCATTAACATAATTTGCGAATTTGAATTATTTGAATTTTCTTGTTTGCAATTTATCTCTTAATTTCACCTGCATAGTTATTCCATCTTCTGAAACCCATAAATAATCAGGAACCCTGGCAAGATGCTTTTTGAAAGCTTCTCCATTTGGATCTTCAGCCCAACAAGCAACCATACACAGAGACTGTGACAAGTATAAAATGACATTTCTTAATATGATAATTTTACTATTTCATAAGTTAAATTAATTTCAATTCATTTAATTTGATGTTTTATAGCAAACAGTACCTTTTCCACACATCCAGCAGTAAAGTATCGACTATTCTCATCTTCATAGTGAACATGCTTCATTGTTTTCTGAAGGGCCTTCTCTCTAACCCATTTGTTGAAGGGCCAACGAGTTAAAAGTGGTTCAGTTAGCATGTATAAGCTATCCCACATGAGATCTTGTATAAAAGGACGTGGAGAGTATAGATCCTCCTATAATTAATATACGAACAGTCTATTAATTAAGTTCATATATAGTTCCATAATAATAAGAATTCGGTTGAGTGTTAACTAAATAATTACATATTAATAAAGCTTCACCTTGGCACAAAGGTGGCGAGCTTTGTTCCAATCAATTTGATGGTAAGGTTGAACATGAAGTTCTTGTCTCAACTGGAGAATAAGTGGTGTTATTGGACCCACAAACCTTTTTCCATACAAGTAAGACATGGGCATGTAGACGGATCGACAATAAAACCACATCTTAGCTGCATTCATTGATCAAAGTAAAGGAGATCATTAAACAATCTAAGTTATTTATATAGAGATGGCTTTTCCAACATATGGTCCAAGACTAACTAGTTAACTAGATGAAATACCTGGATGCATGGGAAGAAATGAAGGCAAGAGCCAAAACTCAGGAGGCATTGGGTTGCTTCCAAGCCATTCAAATACACCAAGTATCTGCAGTATCATATGATCAATAAGTTAGAGAAAGAGAATGTGTTAAGCAAATGACAGGAGTGTTTGGGTGAGAACTAAACTATAATTTTAAAAGCAATTTATGATATATGAATTAAGTATGTAAGAGGAGTTTTATCTCAATTTGAATAAAAACACTTTTAAAAAAGCTTTTTAGGTAAACCAAGCACCGATAAATCAGAAGTGGTTAGCTAATAAAGGAGACATACACAAAGCCAAGTCTTTCCCCAAGAGGGTATATAGGTGACGCCACCGCGATCAAGAATCCAGTTTCGAGCTCTAACACAAGCATGGTCATCACCTCCAAGAATGCGAATGCATATGTAGCTTAGTGCTGTGCAGAACATAGTGCTGTGGCCCTCAATATGAAGTCCCCACCCTCCATCTTCATTCTTCAATTCCATTATTCACATGCCCAACAATTAATACTCATAATCATTATTTCAAATGTTGATACCATAACTATTAATTTAACTGAATGAAAAATGAATTCCAAACTTCATTCACCTGGTGGTTGTATAGGAAACGTAGGATCTCTTTACAGTACTCTTTATGCCACACACTTTCAAGATGTCCTGTAATATACATACAAAATACCTACACAATATAAAACCTTTAATTAATGTACGAACTCTGACAGAGAGTTATTAGATAAAAATGCTATAATAATTCAAGTACAAACGTACAAAAGGTTGTATAAAGAAGAGGGGTCCAGCAATTTGAGCAGGCCAGTGGCCATCCTTAGACTGCAGTGCTGACAAGTAATATGCTGCTCTTTTCACTGTGTTTATAACTTTCTCAGATGTTATTTCCTCTTCTTCTTTGATCTTCACGCTTGGTATTATTTGCTTGAAATTCTTCTCTCTCAAAAACTTGCACCGCATGCATTCCAAATTTAATAATTATAAGCATACCCAATTATCCACTTTCGATTTCAAAACATGGATCAATCACACAATAAATGTTCCAACTTAATTATTCATGCCACTCAGCCTGTACAAGAAGATTATGGACATGGGGAAACTGTAAAAGACGTACAATGTTAAAAGTTTCAACAAAATTTTTCCCTTCTATTTATACTTTAAATATGTTTTTGTTCATTTTGGCCATTATATATATATATTTAATTGTCAGTATCACATATATGAAATTATTCAAACTAATTGTGTTGAAAAATTAGATCATGTAATTAGATATATGATCCCAATGATATTAGTTTTGTCATGGTTACTGAATATTTTGAGTTTGATTGTATTGCTAACTTATGTGTTCATTAATTATTTAAATTTGCAGATATTGCAAAACTCTTAACCATATAGAAATGAGGATATATTGATCTTCGAGACTGTTTCTCATAATTTATGCTTCAGAAGGTGTGGTAAAAAAATTAGTCTTGATTTCCTGTATGCCTTTAGTCTTGATGAGTTTACTTTGTTGAATAGATCAATATTGGATGATTTGTATTTATTTTTTGTATATAATAAAAATGGCTCTTTTGCTAGTGGTTCAATTTTATGTAATGAGAAAATAAAGAGAGATTTACCTTGAAGTCTTCATTCACCTGTTTTCTGTATGAGCTAGCTGCTTTTGCCTTTCTACTGAACTTTGTTCATGCGAAAGGCGAACAGTTTTCTCAAGGCTGCTTATGGCCCGCATATGTTAAGAAAAGTTTTAACGGAGTCGAAATTTAATGATTGAGTTATATATAACCGAGTCAAAACCAAAACTATAGGGATAAAAAAAATTAATTTTTCATTAAACAACAAGTATGGAGCCCAGTCAAATTAATAAGGGAAGTACGTAGAAGAATAAAATGAAACCTGAAATCGCCAAAGGAGATCAGAACAGGCTCTGAAGCGTGAGCGATTAGAGCAGTAGTTACGACGAGCAGCTTCAACTTCTTCTCTCTCTTCCTGGCTTCCATCTTCAGAATGAAACTCCCATGTCTGCCTCCCCACAAAGTTATTTGTACTGAATATGTACGGATGTTTCCCTCTTTCTCCTATCTTCAACCTCCACATCTTCCGCAGCTCGCAACGCCTAGCTATAACAATATAGCAATATATACATATATATAGAGAGAGAGAGAGAGTGAGTGAGTGAGTGATATGGATGATATATATAGCATGCATCCACAGACCTAAACACGTACCATTGGCTATTTATAATAAGATTGAAGTTATAGTGCCACACCAACCCTTTTTTTTTTTTTGTAGTACTGTGATTATTTATAATTTGTATCTTATAAAAATGATTAAAAAGTACTTGCAGTCTTTCTATAAGTTACAATTTTTCGAATGGCTTGGGTCTAATGGTTTTTTTAAGTTATACTACCTCTTGTTTTTAATATAATATCTCATTTAATTTTTATTTTAATTCTAAATATAAGATACCAATTCATTTTGTCTTTTATATTTAGACTTTTTTTTCAAAATAGTCATTCTAAAAATAATAGTTTTAGCCAATACACTTTATTAGTAAAGATATTTTAGGGAAGATAATATCTATTTATTACAAATAACTAACTTAACTTATTTTTTTAATTTTTTCAAATTAGTCAACTAGTTATAATTAGGACCAGAAGTAGTACTTTGAAAATGTTCAAACATTTGATTTTTTTTTTAACTTTTACAATTAGTTATGTCTTTCATATGTTTTCTGCAATGATTCTTTTTTATCTTCATTTTCTCTCATTCTCTTTCTCATTGATTTTTCAATTCACGTGAAAAAGATAAAACGAGACCGAGATTATAAATTCTGACCTACGAACAGGGGTAAGAGCGAAGGTTTTGGTGGCTCACAGTAGAAACAGCAAGGCCACATCGTACAATTGCAATTATTACTTCCGGTTCAATTCCAACTGTTACCCACATGACAATTAATAATATTTTTTCTTACCCTAAGCATTAATGCGGAGCTAAGGTTGGTATACAGTAAACTCGTTCCCACTTCCCAGCTCCCACGATATAAATCTTTTCCAGAAGAATGTTTTAATCTAAAATATAACTTGACCAGTAATTAATACTTATTTATTAATTTTGTCTTGGTAATTAAATACTATTTTGGTCCTATTTATAAGACAGATATAGAAAGAATTTTTTGATCCTATTTATAAGTTATATTATTAAATTTTTTAGGTTAAAATATATTTTTAGTCCTTTAACTTTACATAAGGTTTTATTTTGGTCTCTTAATTTTAAAAAGTAAATTTTTAGTCCTCTAGCCCTAAAATTGTTAACAAAAAATGATGATATTAAGTTCTTAAATACTGATAAAATATTACTAAATGCTGACATATTAAATTTGATATTCAAAACAATCACGATTGTTATAAAAAATCATCATTTAAGATTAATAAATTTTGAGTTAAAGGACTAAAAGTATACTTTTTAAAGTTAAGGGACCAAAATGAAATGTTACATAAAGTTAAAAGACCAAATGTATACTTTAGCCAATTTTTTATATGAACATATGATTTTACTATTTATTAAGTATTGTGTTGACTTTGTTCTCATAAAATAAAATATATATTAAATATAGATAATGATAAAAAAGTTGTTAACTTTTAAGGTAAAATTAATAAAATTTAAGATTATTATTTTTTATTTATGTGAAATACATTGAAGGTTATTTATAAATTAGACTCTATTCATTTCTACTACAGTACAATCATTAAAAACCTGTGAATTAAGAGCTTATCAATAATTCAATACATTGGCATCCAATAATGCATCTTCGCATTAAATATCAAAGTTTGAGGGAATGGAGAGGAACTCCAGAAAATGCTTTATAAAGAGGTAAAGTTACGTTTACTTAATTAAATAATATATCTTATTAAAAATATCGGATTATATATTTATCACGTATTATATATGCAATGATAGATCCGAAATGAAAGTGTTGACAGGAAAATCTATTTTTAAAAAGTAAGATGTTTAATATACATTATTTGAATTTTTTACCATCGACATCTATCATTACTTTTTGTAAATGGCTTTATGATATAAAAGAGAGTTGAATTATAAATAAATAATCTATAATGATATAGAAATATAAATTTTCGAAAAGTATGCAGAAGTTCAAGTGAATGGCATCCTGTGTTTTGTCTGGGAAAAAAAAAAAGCATCCTCTGTTTGTGTTGGAGTAATATATAATGGTGAAAGAAAATGATGGCTGTGCACATACCACTACTCCTATCCTGATTATAAAGCACCTGCGGGGGAAATTTTTTGTCTCCAATAGTAAGCCACTTGTATGTATTTAATTATCATCTTCTAATTTATTTCTTTTTAATTCTTATTGGAAAGAGAGAAAGAAAAGAGAGATGTGAGGAGAATGATTTGTAAATACCAATAAAGAATTTTAATAAAAATAAATTTGAGAAATTTTATCAATTTAATACAATCTTTAATACGTGTGAATGTGTTACAAGTGACTTACTCCCTCCATCCCTTATTATAAGATCCAATTTTTTTGAATATGTTTGTCCCTTTTTATAAGATTCTTTTTGAGTTTGTTTAAACATTTAATGCATTATTACTTATTTTACCCATAGTTTAATGCATTTAATACATTCTTTTTTTTCATTTATCTCACTATTATTCTCTCACATCTACCCATTTATATATAAGGGTATATTTGGAAAAAATTGCATTTGCTACATATTAATTGCTTTTAACTAATTTTAACTATTTTTTTAAATCACACAATTTAGTTAAAAGAATCTTATAACAAGGAACAGAGTAGTATATAAGAACAAGAGTGGTGGTTTCTATGCATTTATATATCCTCATCAATAATAATCTTTCCATTTTAAATAGCAAAAATTTATTAGACTCACATAATTTTTTATTAGTGTTTGTAAAGTTGATAAAAACATATTTAATGTTTAGATATTTCTAAGTAGGATAGCATTAAAAAAAAAAGTAAATCAATTCAAATTATGATATCTTATAAAATAAAATTAAAAAAAACACGTGAGAGAATATAAAATATGTTTTCATGCAATCCTCCGTACATATCACATGGCCTCTTTAAAAATTTGCGCATCCCCAGCTACCCCCACCGAAAAGACAGCTACATTTGCCCTACTCCTATCCTTATTTAATGGGAAAATGACATTGAGGTCCCACAGAACTAAAAATACAGTAAAAAGGTCCCCTGAAATCTCATAATTTTTCTGAAGTCCCAAAGGGACTTAGATGCAATTTTCAGAATCTGGAAATTACCCTCTTGCCCTTGCTTATGAGATTCGAAAATGCTAAAAGGAGATTAGAGCCTCTGTTTTTTGTTCGACCGGAAGAAAGCTGAAACCGTGTTGTGCCTTCGTGCTACTGGAAATCCGGTGACAACCCATCGCAGTGCTCAAATTCCCCTCACAACCTGCTGAAAATCGTGAGCCTTTGTGCTGGTTGGTGTGTGTTGTGATTTAAATTGGGTGTGTAGAATGATAATGGGTGCTCTGTTTTTGGGTGGTTTTCCTCTGTTTTGACGTTAGTTTAGTGGCAAAGAAAGAAAAAGATGAAAGTTAGTGAGGGTAGAAACCCTTAGCACGAAATGGGACTGTGTTGTCAATCAGGCCGCGATTGCTGTCAATGTGTGCCGCTACACTTGTCAATGTAGCTCCTTAAGTTGTCAATGACAGTTGTGTGCTTCTTGATGCAGGTTTAAGTTACTGATGGTATTTCAAAGCTTTTGTTTTTTGTTTAGGATTCAGAAGTTAATGAATGGAAAAGCTGTGTTTTTGGTTGGTGTGTGTTGTGATTTAAGTTGGGTGTGTAGAATGATAATGGGTACTCTGTTTTTAGGTTGTTTTCCTCTGTTCTGACGTTAGTTTAGTGGCAAAGGAAGAAAAAGATGAAGGTTAGTGAGGATAGAAACCCTTAGCAGGAAATGGGATTGTGTTGTCAATCAGGCCGCGATTGCTGTCAATGTGTGCCGCTACACTTGTCAATGTAGCTCCTTAAGTTGTCAATGACAGTTGCGTGATTCTTGATGCAGGTTTAAGTTACTGATGGCAAGTACATCTGGAAAACATATATTTTGCTTTGTTCACATAGGGAGAAAGTTTATAAATAATGGAGAAGATAATATGAGATATGTGGGAGGTAGTGTAAGAACAACCAATGTAAAGGAGGGCACAAGTTATGAAGCATTGAAGGAAATTATATCATCAATTGCTGGAAAAGAAAGCAACTCATTTCTTCTGAAATTCTCAGTTGTGTTTGATAAAAAAAAATTTGTGGAGTTGGTAGATGATGATGGGGTGGAACATTTGATAAAGTTCAATGAAGAAAGTGGTCATGTGTATGTCGAAGAAAATGAAAATGAGGACCACATAGAAGCAACAAGGGATAATACAATGGAGGAGCAAGATGTGTAAGTATAGTTGAACAAAACTGTAAATGGGTGTGAAGGGAATTTTTTGTAAATGGATACACACTAATAGTTAGTTTCTCGTAATTACATGCAACCCCTGTGTTTTTTTGGGAGTTGTGAAATAGGTGTAGTTTCATGTATATGAAGGTGTAAATGAAAGTTGACTATGAATTGGCATGTTAGATTCTGCTGTCATTTAAGTTGTCATACCTGCACCCTGTATTGTCATTAGACCTGTTATGACTTATCAATAGAGCACTGTCACTTGTCAATTAATTTGCTGATGTAAGTTGTCAACAATATGAATTCAAGTTACATAACTTGTTTTAGTAACATATGATATTTTCAATCACCCTGTCATATTATATTTTTGGTTATTTGTCATATATAATCATTATTAATGAAGTGTCAATGGTGGCACTGTGACTTGTCAATGGTGGCATAGTGACTTGTCAATCATGTCCTTAAGACTTGTTAATGGTGGCGCTGTGACTTGTCAATGGTGGCACTGTGACTTGTCGTTGGTAGCACTATGACTTGCCAATGGTGACACACGAACTTGTCATTGGTGGCAATGTGACTTGTCAATGGTGGCACTGTGACTTGCCAATGGTGGCACACTGAGTGGATTTTGAGCACCACGGTGGATTGTTAAAGTTACAAAAATGAGGCTGAATAGTTGATATGCCTTGCTTGGAGTTCAAAGTATTTGTGAAGATTGTATG